ACTTGACGCATCGCTGGAATGCGAGGCCCCTCCCGCTTCCCCCCGCACTCCCTTAGCTCGCCCGGCAATCGTCAGGATGGTTAGTTGGTCTCTGTCACCGATACGCGCGTCGATATTTTGACTAGTTTTCTGTTGCTATTGTTGTTATTGGATATTTTATTACGTTTTCGTTATTGTTTAAGTTTGGCTGTTTTTGGACATTTTGTTATTTTTTTGTTATTGTTTAAGTTTGGACTGTTTTTGTTAATTTTGGACTACTTTTGTTACTACTCGTTTTTTAACATGGGGAAAACTACACAGTGAAGGGAGAAATCTTGTGTTGAAAGTGCTGCAGTTTTTCAAGAATGAGAAGAAAAATAGACACTTTTGCATACCTGTAGATCAGGTTGATAAACGATCCTGTGCAGCAACTGGAATATCAAGAAGTACTCTTACTCGTATAAAAATGGAGGCCAAAAAGGTATGTGTACCACCGTCTATCACGGCTCCAAGTACTAGTACGGCCCCAAATACTAGCACCGTTCCAAGCACTGATATTTGTCCCAGTCCAAGTACTACAGACAATCCAATGAGGGAAATAAAGTTATCCACACCGGGTAAAAAGCGTAAACAATCAGCGAAAAAAATTGTCGTGGATGACTTTGATATTTGCGCAATACGCAATATCATCAAAAGCTTTTATACCATGGTATTGACCATGATGTACCAATTATTTATAGTGAAGATGAATTTTGAATAAATATTTATATATCAACATAAAATAGTTTTAAATTGTATTGTATAAAAAATATATGATGCAACATATTGCAAGATTAACAAATAAAACCTACGCTCCAAAATCAAAAATATAGTTTTTATTTAGCTACATGCTTTTTTTCGCACCGTACCTGACCGCCAAAATGACGTCATCAAAGCCATGCGTTAAGTTAATGTGACCGCGTTGTATTTAGCTATGATTTTGTACATGACCCGTTATCTAGTTGGTATTGTTGATCGAAGGTTGAATATAATAAATGGTTTTATTATAGCTATACTTATATAAATAATGGATGTTCAACCATGGAACTATCGGGCGAATATACTATTTGTGCATGTTTACTAAAATTAAACTCGTTATCTACAGATATGTGTCAAGTAGGAGAAATAAAATATATTTTTTACTGGTTCCTATTGTTACGAGCTTAGGGTTCGTGACAGTAAAAACTGCCGATTGAATTACCAAAATTTAGACTTTAATTAACGATCATTAATTAAAACTTCAAACACACTATTAATTAATCACACTTAACACTTTAGTTCACTTTCACGTTTAGTTCACTGACACGTCTTCGCTTGTGTCGCCAATTCAATACTGCCCCAATCGCAGCTATCAACGGTTTTATATAGGATTCTTCTACCAAAACAAGCAACAGCAAATACGGGTCCCGACCGACAGTTCAAATAGTTCGAGAGTGGACCCTTCTAGTAAGCTTGATTCTTTTACCCGCCACTAGATGGCGTTATTGGGAGAATTCCGGAAAGATCTTGACACTCCTATTTTTGATACTTGATACCAGATGGCGTTAGTGCCATCCACTGTGGCGCGCAATACTACCCCCTCCTAAGACCTACTCGTCCCGAGCATTATCGGTCCCATAATAACGCGCCAGTCGATCGTCCACATGGACGACCTTAGGAGCACCTCTTGCACCTTTCTGAACCGGCTCCGCAACCGCAAAAAACGTCAAGGAGTGTCCTCTCCCATGGTGCACCAACATTGTACAATTTTAATGCACCTCTACTACGAGTCTGAGGTCCCTTCACAGTCGCACAACTTGTACACTTGCAACACCAATCCTTGACATCTTCACGATAATGGATCCAGTAAAACCGTTCTCGGATCTTCAGTAGAGTTCGTTTAACTCCCAGATGGAATCTTGAACAACAATTTATTGTATTGTAACAATTTATGGTACAGCTGTAGAACATCCGGTACTTTAGCTTTAGGGACAATCATTTGGAAACGACAGCTGTCCCCTCGACCATTTTCCCATTTACGGCACAAAACTCTATTATGAAGCAGCAAGCTATCCCATTGAGCCCAATAGCTTTTAGAGGTCAAACTCATTGCTGAGTTTGACCTCTAAAAGTGTATAGAAAAAAGACCCATACAAACCGACACTTAAATGGTGAATCTCACCATCATCCTTCACAGTTAGCTACCGTGGGCAAATCTTTGTTTCAGAGAGCACGAGGGATCTGTGACAGCAAACACCTGGCCGCCGAGCTTCAGCACGTCAAGCAGGTTCTGCACGACAACAAGCTTCGGGTCCCGCGCCTCCGTCACAGTGACCGAGTGAAGCCGGCCACAGTCGAGCGTGTGCCTGCTATACTACCATATGTCAGAGGTGTCACAAACAAGATTGGCTACATCTTGAAGCGAGCTTCTATTAGAATATTCTACAAGCCGCCGAAGAAGATTAGTCAGTTTTTACCATCCGTCAAGTGTCATATTCCTCTACAAGATGCAGGAGTGTACAAGCTTGATTGTGATTGTGGTCTCTCATATATAGGGCAAACAAAGAGATCAATTAGAACCCGCGTAAAAGAACACATAGCTGACGTGAAGCATCCACGTTCCGGGAAGTCTGCAGTTTGCGATCATATTCTAGATGGCCCCAACCATTACATCAGATTTGATAGACCACAAATCCTTGCGAAAGAACATCGATTCCTACCAAGGATGATACGTGAGGCTATTGAAATTAAAAAACATCCTAATTTCAATAGAGAAGGAGGCTGGGTACTACCACCTGCTTGGGATCCTATAATTAATAAAATTAAAACTAAACCCAAGCATACCACTGCAAGACTTCAAAATACAGTTAGTTCATTCTGCGTAGATCGGACCAAAGACAATAATTAAAAAGCTGAAGGTACTCCGGGTTAACTTTGACATCGGGACGTCAGTCACCTCAGTCCCCCGTGACCATGGGTGCTGGAAAGCACCCGAAACGTCGGGTATTAAAATTAATATAAATAAAACGCGATAAAATCCGTAAAAGTAGTTTTAATCAATAAACTTATTATTTTATTTCATAATTACCAAATACACATTCTAAGCAAATTATACGTACATACGTATCTATATATTTTATTTCATAATTGAGGCTGCAGTATTTTAGTATGTATGTGTGTAATCTAAGAAAATATGTATGTACACAAATAAGTGCACACATTGTATATTGAAAAATGTATCTCATAATAATTTCTTAATAAACATTGATTTTCGTTGATATTGTTGTTTTTAATAAACACATAACATTATGTATGTATGTATGTACTACAATTGCACAAAACCCGCTTTTCTTCATACATTCGATTATCCAGATTTTCGATTATCCGAATCCCTAACGGCAACAATTAGTCCAGTTAATCGAGTTTCCACTGTGCTATATAAACATTTCGTAGTTATATTTCATTAGAGAACATTTTGCCACAGGTTAGAAAGGGAGCGGTCGCCTTCTCGAAAGCCCGGTAAAAAGCACACGCGTGCGAGGGAGAAAACCAATCTCTCAATTCAACTCTCCTTATATGTTTGACAGCAGTATTCGTGAGGCTACGAGGTCGAACAGAGTGCGCGGGAAATTTGAAATAGTTTACGAGTTATTTTATTACTTGATATAATTGATTGATTCATCTTAATGAGGCAAGCCGGGCTTCTGGGCTTGTATAGAGGCTTCGCCACTGCCCTTACTCTTATTACACCACCCTTATTATGGGCTTAGGTTCCCCGATTCAGTGGAGTGTAATAGGGTATAAGAAAAAAATATTCAAATCTGGGTTTCTTTACAAAATAAAATTTGTCCAAGAAATAATCTAGCTAGTATCATACCATTTTGCAATTTTTATCAAATGCGCCAACTTTGTTATTTGCCAAACTAGCGTTTTTTTTTTTTTCAGTACAGTCTGTTAAAATTGGACGAAATATTAACTTACTTGGGCTCTAAATTTCACGCAATAACTTACAGAAGCATTATTCGGGATTACATAATAATTAAAAAAGATTTGTAGTAACGGGAGTCTATCACAGGATGTAGATTTTTTGATTTTTTAAAAAATGTCTAAAATTTTGAAAAATGAGGGGGAGCCAGGAGACCCATAGCACAGGGTAACCGATTTTGGGCTCCAGTCTCCCACAACAACTCAAAACTTTTAAACTATTTACGAAACAAAAATGTAACTGTGTAAAAAGTGGGAGAAATAAATCTTTATTATAGTTATTTTTCAAAATACAAAACTTTATTTTGCTGTTAACTATCATGACTTGGCCTATCCACCAGTTTTCGGCTTGAGGTCGATTTCTCTGATACCTGTATATTAGATTATGTTTTTATTATTTCGATCTTTGTTATGGCATCAATGTACGTCAGTGACTGCTGATCATATGGTCGTTTTAATAAAACTCTTTTACTTAGATATTAATTCTTTTACTTTTCATATAAATTATTTCGTAACAAAGATTTAGATAACATAACTAATGAAGCGATCAAATTAATCACTACTAATGTTGTGCGTAAAATTACGAAAAGTATCTGTTTTAAACCTGTTTGTATTCCTGTATCATCTTCAAATAACGGTATGAAGTGGATTTCTGATATGTATATGGTATTAAATTATTGAAATTTGTGTATTAAATATCAAGGTATGTGAACTATTAACAGAAATAGTGAAACAAGTGCGCCTTGACCCTTGAGATACTGTCGTCATCGGCTATCTGCTGGCTTAAGTTGTTGTCGAAATCACACAAAAACACAAAAAAAATTGAGTATCATTTTAATGCGGACTTCATGTTGCCTTCCCTTTCTCCTTAAGGAGCAGTATATTATGTTAAAACAAAAATATTACAATACATTCGGGCTCGACTGTTGTCGGGTACAACACACTAAGGACTAACTTAATTCACAACATTAGCAATCATTACCATAAGTTACTTAAATATACCTTAACTAAGATCTTAACTAATGTGCCTTTTTGGGTTTAGCGAGTTTTTCATATTTGCTCTTTGAGGAGTACCAGAGTCCAAAGGGGATGGCAAGTGATGGTAAAGTCATAACGGCAAATGCAACCCAATCCATAATGTGTGAAGAGAACTTGCGATCATAGTCTTTAAACGCAGCAATGAAGCCTTCGCCTGGAGCACTGCTTATAGAATATTGTACCTGAAATACAAAAATAAAGTGGGTTATTATTACACTAAGATTTTATGGATAAAACCATTAATTTACAGAAATGTAATTAAGATGAAAAACAAAGTTAACAGGCAATAGATAAATTAAGAAGTGCAAATCTTGTGCACACTCCGAAATACCTGTAAGTATGAAAAATCACCTCTATATATCAAGATTTTTTTTAATGAGTTCAAGACAACCAGTTGCTACTGAGCAACACCAGCCTAAATGAGACAACAATACACCAAAAAATAAAGGATGTGACCTTGATAATGATTTAACAGCTGTTCCTTGGTGAAGTACCATCATATTTTGGTGAGATCAATAAGTTTTCTTGTTGCTAGCTTTATATATATATGGCATACTATGTCGGTATTCTGTATTTTTTTACTCATTATAAAGCCTGTGGTTGGCATAATCCATAATAGTGGTATGTTTTGTCATTCAAATTCATCCACTCCCTTGTTCTATAATATCCATTATAATAAGTGGTAAAGTTTTTAATTTTACCACTTGTTATTACTTGTTATAATGGAAAAAGCGTATTCTGTATGGGTCTTCGACTGTATAACCATTTACCTAAATATATAAGAGATTCTAAGAGCTTTCACATTTTTAAGAAACAACTAAACACATTTTTAACCATAAAAGCGTATTATAATATTGACGATTATCTATATGACAATTTTTAACTATCAAATTTATTGAACGAAACGTTATCTATGTTATTAATTTTGAGACAATTTATACCTACTCGTTTTGACATTATTACTTGGACATTACAATTTTAATTATTACATGTATTTTATCATTATTTTGTGAATTATTATTATGTTAGTTGCGCAAATATACAAATAGGGCTATATTATGTTAATGTAATTATCGGCATTTTCCATTTAATTTTAATTATAAATAAAATCTAATATTTAAGTAGTTTGCATACCGAAAGGTAGAATATGGCTGTATTTTGTTAAATTATTAAGACCTATTGTAACCCATATATCGCAAATGAATAAAATGAATTTGAATTTGAATTTGAATGTTATAACAAGTGGTAAAATTAAAAATTTTGTACAACCTACTTCAATACAAATAAAATAAAAACATCATCAATGTAGTTGAAGTCAATTAAAAACGGAATTTAAGGATAAAGCAAAAACTACTGGTCAGATCTTGATCAAATTTATATGGGACTACATGAAAAATACCAGCTTTCAATTAAAAAAAGATTCATCACAATTGGTTCACCTAGAAAAAAGTTCTAAGGTAGCACATATAAAAAAATACAGCCGAAGTGAGAACCTCCTTCTTTTTTGAAGTCGGTTTAAAAACAAAGTAAATAGTTTGGTACAAATGCGTGAAATATCGACAGTAAAGGAGTGAAAATGAGGCTAGTTGTTTTGCTGCCTGTCCAATTCCTGCATACTCGCTCCAAAAAACCTCCTCAAGAAAACTGAGGCTGGCTACATTTTTACTAATTCAAGGTCACCAATAAGCCTTTTAGCATATCTCTCCATTAAGTCCAACAATGTTAGGTAGCATTTAGCAGCACCAACACATATGAGGCAGACACACTCTATGCATGACTGGACTTACGCTTTATATTAGATAAGAAGTTGCCCCAACTTGTAGAACCAACTTGTAGTAGTTTCCTTGCGGCTGCTTCGGCCTTAAATAAAATAGAAGCAAACAAGTCTACTTTCTCTCTAGCTACAAATACCAGTGAGCCATCTGGTTTTCCAGTGTAGACTAGCAGAATTTTGTCTTAACCCCTTTGGCAGAATACCAAAAATCTCTACTGCCAAAAGGTTTGGCAGAGAGCTTTGACCCAATTTATCTAATGCGATCGAGATTAGGTTTCCATAACGCTTTTTACGGTACTTTAAGGCTTTATTAGCTTTTGGTAGACACTCTTTTAATAGCGGTTAGCATCTGGAGCTTAGTGAGATATGCTTGTTCTTATCAGCTCGGGCACATTCTGTGTTGAACCATGGGTGAGCTTACCACTGATGGGCATCAGTAAAGGGATGCATGATATTAATACTCAAGTTGTGGCAAAAGTGGATTATTCAAGATGACATAAACTCTTACAGCAAATATCATTGCAGACATACATCAAAAAACAGAAGAGCGGGCTTGTTAGCCTTAAGGTGATAATTTTATGAAGAGGGAGTGCAACCACTGTAAGAACTTACTCTTGTTTATAAGATGTAATTTTTTATAAAATTTCATGAACAACATGTAAGAAAACTAACTTATGATGCGAGTTACAAGTGAAGAACCATTGAAGCATATTCATTTCAGTTACAGCAATAAAAATAACTAAATGTTACCTTTTTTTAAGCAGCATATTAGTTGTTGTGGCTAATTCAACTTCAAAAAAGGTGTAAGGTTATCAACTTGACTTGGCTATAATTAAGTATGTAGGACAATATCATCAAGATGCTAACTAATTTAGCTGGTTTTTTAAAATGGAACACAACAAGAATAAAAGTTAACTCTATAATGATGCGTGACATTCACAGGTTGTTTACTACAATTGTGCAAACATCAATTTTGTGCTTGTAGAATATAACAGGAGATCTAATACAAGATTGAGGAACACCTTATATCTGGTTAAGTTAACTATTTCAGTATCAGAAATGACCCAATATGGACAGTTCTGAAAATTGCAAAGTAAGCACAATACTATCTTTTGACATAAATATTTTAAGAACCTATAGTAGGTTAATGTAGGAGGCATTGACTCCAAAATCATACAAGAACTATAAAATCACTACAATTTTATTTGTTTTTTATTTATTTAATTGTTTTAAAAGCAAAATTAAGTATTCTTTGATTCATTTACTTCAGATTACCAACACTGTTTCTCAACACCTTTGCATAAGTAACCTCATCTCTAAATATTTGTGCCACAACTTTGCATGTATGCGTACATAACTAAGAAGATGTTTTTTTTAAGTCACGTGGTGGTGTATGCTATGTAAATTGAATGTGTTGCGTTGCCACTTTGATACGCTGTAGGAATTCACCTATAAAATAGACATCCAAAGACGTTCTGTGGAATTAAACATAAGAATAAGAGAATGTCCTATGACGTAGCGCCATTTCATAATTCTATCAACACGACATTGTAAGACATTTCTCACGTGAATGTGTTAAAATAGTACATAATATATGATTTTAGTCTTACCTCAGTAGCATCTTCACTAGACCTGTATGTAACCTCTGCAGCAGTAAAGTTGAAGTAGCCATATGTGTTTGATCTCACAGTGACTACATGCGAAACATTAGTTTGAGGGGGTATCCTGTCTATGTGTGCTGTGAGTTGTCCACCAACAACTGCAAACACTTCAGGATGAAAGCCTTTATCCACAAGCTTAACGTCTACCGCAGGAGCAGTTCCGACGTTATAGAGGGTGTACTTGATGAGAATATCCAAATTCTCTACCAGATATTTGTTTAGTACTTGTTTGGATACTAGCAATCTTGCAACCGATGCTTCTTCATCGGCTGTCACTGCAGCAGCAATAAGGAGAAGGAAAGATAATAACTTCGCAGCCATGGTGTCTAAAAAATAGAAATTTATTTGTTAAATCACAGGGTATAATTTATAACACTTATTTATAAAAAGATTGAATGAAAATGTTTAATTTCATTTGTAAGGAATAAATAAAAAGATTAATTTATATTTAAAAAATAAACACCAAATGAAAGTTTTGAGTCTTACCTTAAAGTTATTACAGAAAAATCGAATGAATCTTTACTAACTAAAAGTGAAATGTTACATTGAAATGGATTTGTACGTGGCTGACGTTTCATTCCACGCGTTCAAATTGCGTGCATTGAGTTGCCATATTTTTACAATTCATTATTGGTGGCGTTCATCTACATAAATTGTATTAATATTAAATGATTTTTTTTGGCAAATATTGTTACACTACTTATAATAAAACCATTAATCAATTTAGATAACCAAAGGAACTTCTTTTAATAAAGTATGTAATAAAATTTTAAAGGTAGAGTTAACGACGTTGCAGTTGCTAGCTAAACTACGCACTGCACAAAAAACAGAAAAAAATAAAAAAAACTTAAGGATTTTTTCCCTAAATGTAAAGGCAAAATATTGGGTTGTTGCTGATAACAATAACTTTCTTTAGTTATTATTCTGAGAGTGCTTGTATAATTTTTTTATAGGATAAGGGTGACGAACCAGCACACATTCCACCTGATGTTAAATGGTTTCTGTAGCTCATGACATCTACATCTATCCTCGATTACGCATCAATATGCAGATGCGATGGCCTAAGATGGAATGCCTCATTTCCAATAAAAAGGGTCTCCGTTTCTCTACACTTATCATTCGAAACACTGCTATTTTACGCTGGTATTCTGTGAGAGCATGGTCCTTTTTCCGTCGAGCCAACACAATCCTGCCGCATGGCTCTACCACGTGAACAAGCTTTTACAATAATTTCGCAATAAGATGTCAATGCTAATTCCAGGTATACTTAAATTGCTTGTGTTAGGTACAAGGTAGGTGGTTCACGTCTGTAGTCGAATAACGGATTTATTCCCACGACTTTTCAATTAGCGGTTAGCAACTTACCATAAAACTACTCGCACTTTAAAATATAATTTAATATAAATTATAATATCAGAAAAGCGTCGACAATTAGGCGTTGACTCCTGCATGTGATCACTCTCTTACAAAAGAACTATAAGTTGGTTGGACAATTTATAAAGAGTAACGAAAAGTGGGTCTTCTACCATATACAAAGACAGTAGTCTGATAAAAGAAAAATCACAGGACGTGGTTCAATATTCAATGAAATGAAGTCACTACTACTACTTTAGAATAAAGTTATGTGTTTAGTGGCATGTTAAAGCAGTAAAAAAATGCTTGCTACATAAAAATCAGATAATGATATCACCTCATATCGAGACGAGAGGTTTTTAACTATTGCAATTCGCATTATGCATATAAATTAATTTATAAACTGTAATTTTTTAAATAATTATATAACTTATCGCATTAAGTGAAAAATATGCCGGTTATACCACAGAGTACTTTTTATAAACCGGAAGTTATCACATCTGGTACACATACAGATACTGTTGTACCATAAGAGCTCTTTCTTGAAACGTAATAAGTTTGAAATAGATTTACATGATTTTAACACGTAGTCTGAGTGCTGCAACCAGCCTCAATAAGATACTTTTTTCCGGTTTATGTTAGTCAGGCTTTCGACGTCACATTTTTAGGGTGAGTATTAAGTGTTGGCAGCACTGCGTTTGTCAAATTTTGACAATTTGTCAAATGGATTTATTGAAAATAATATACGAGTACAAAGCTAAAAAATAATTAGTAAAATATAGCAAATGATTGCAAAAATGCCTGGAGTTCAGTAATTTCAGACTTTTAAATTATCCGAAAAAATTGTATTTGACACCACATTACCCAAACTATGACAGATACGGAAGATGCTACCAAAAAACCCGATACTGAGCCATTAGACGACGAAGCTCTAGAGAAGTATGTATTAGTGTTGTAGTCACTTATTATATTGTGCATTAAATATATAGTTTAACCCAAAAACTTTTAATATTGTGTAAAAAAGTAATAAGCTAATTTTATATTTAAAAATTATCAAAATTAATTTAACTATCTATTGGCACGGTAATCAAGGGGACCTGGCTAATCCCGAGTTCGAATAAAAATTTGAGCCATGAATCAACAAAAAACAAGTTTCTTTTTTAACTGAAGTGACAAATAAACTGAATTCATCTATTGTAGCTGATGGATGTGTGTAATCTATTTCAAATAAAAAGGAGTCTGCATATAAATACAGATATACAGATAAACATATAGATACAAACATATGCATTGCCACCTCTGACGATTGATATGGAATACCTTACATCCTGTAATTTTACTGGACTTTGTACCATTCAGTGAGTCTGGAACACAATAGTGAAAGCACTGCTGTTAGGTGGCAGATGGACTCCTAGGTAGAATGGTAGTTTTTTCTATTGCTTTTGGTTATGTTGCTAACATTTCTATTCTCTTATTCTGTACCATAGCTTATTACTAATCTTATTTCATTTATTTCATGAGTATTGCATGGGACAGGGTAGACCAAGTATCTTATGTTTATATGCTTATGCATACATTGCGGCACTAAAATATCACCTACACTGTTGATAGATTCCAATTATTTGGAAGCTACAAATGCTAAATTTACTCTATTTATTATACTATATCTTCCTCATAGTGGAGTGCACACACACACACACACACACAATTGTAAGACATTATGTTAATAATATAATTAACTGCAATAAAATAAACATTAATTTAAAATATTTAAATGGCATAAGTTGATTTGATAGTTATATATCAGATGTAAAATATCTGATCAGTGATAGGTGGGAGAGAACTAGACCTACTGTGGTCACTAATACATCTGCGGACCATGGCAATTATGGTAAATTCTTGTGATTGGGGAGGCTTATGTCCAGCTATAGAATGTTTGTGGTTTCAATATAAGGAGGGAAAGAGCTCTTGGACAGATTTTCCAAAAAAATTAAGTAGCAGTATGAATCAAACACTGCACTTGCTTATCCTAACCGATGGTTGTTTTAACACATGTCAGATGCAGATAAGAAAATTATTTAGGAAAAATTAAGTAGGAAAAAATGTAACTAGGGAGGGATGTCCCTAGATGGAATGACAACCTGGTAAGAGATGCAGGGTTTTTGCTCAGCATCTTGTTTTGTGGCATTGCTTAGGGAATTTCTAATGAATTATTGAATTTAAAAAAGTGCTTTGTAAAGATCAATCTTGTACAAAAATATTTTGACTTTGAATTAATGTTTTGCACAATATTAATTCTGGCTTGAATTTGAAAACCCACAACCTAGAAATTTTCTTGTTTAACCACTAGAACATTCAAATTAGATTTATGAGTTAATTTTTTTCATCAGTGTTTTAAAAACAGAGATTTTCAGGATAATTTTTGCAAGTTTTCAACCGACGAAAAAACGGAGGAGGCACTCAAGTCGACACATATTTTTTTTAAAGTATGACCACGCATAACATTTTACAGAGTAGTCCGATTTTGATAATTCTTTTTTTAATGGATAGGGCCACATACCTCGAAATTAGTTCCATATAAATTTGGAAAAGAAACTTTACCCTAAGACTGGGAAAATAGAGGTGATTTATTACAAAGTAGTCCGATTTTGATAATTTTTTATATTGAAATAGAAATAGAAACTTTTTTTATTCAATGTAGATTATAAACAATAATTATTGAAAGTCAATTTTTTCATTTACCACTGGTTCGCAAAAAGCACCTCTGTCCTGGGAAGAACCAGCAAGAAACCCGGCGGGACTGTTTTTTTCAAATAATAGCTTACAATCATGTTTACAATTAACAACACAAGATAAATTAGAAATAGCTTGGTGGCGATCACCCTTCACAGGGGTTATATCATCCATAAATTCCTTAATATTATAATAACCCTTTTTATACAAACTTAACTTAATAAAATTTTTGAACTTTGCATATGACAAATTTTGTATATTTTTTGGGATTTTGTTGTAAAAGCGTATACATCGCCCCAAGAATGAATTACTGACTCGGTGGAGTCAAGTAACTGGTACTACTAGCTTGTGTCTGTTCCTAGTATTTACAGAATGAATATCACTTATTTTTGCAAATCTACATTTATTCTTGAGTTAATATATTAATTTCCTTAAATTTTTGTCTCAGTGACTGGTTTTAAATTATATATTGCTCTAATGGCCCTCTTCTGTAAAATAAATATAATTTCAGTGTCAGTCGCGTGTCCCCACCGCAAAATACCATACGACATAATGCTATGAAAATAACTAAAGTAAACTATTCTAGCTGTTTCAACACTGGCAAGAGTTCTAATCGTTTTTTACAGCATATGCTGCAGAACTAAGTCTGCTAGCTAGTTTTGGGGGGAGCCATTGAAGCTTTGCATCTAATGTGATTCCAAGAAAAATGGTGGTATCAACAAGACTCAGTTCTTCCCCATTTAAAATTACATTCGTATTAACATGTTTGACATTAGGAGTTACGAATTTCATACATTTAGTTTTAGTACCATTTTAATGCAAATTATTAACATTAAACCAATTGACTAACTTAGCTATAGCATTATTTACTTCGTCGTAATTTAATAACTGTCGTTTTAATTTGAAAAATAATGAAGTATCATCAGCTAATAGTACTATATCATGGTTATCCCCTACTATATAAGGTAAGTCATTAATATATACAAGAAACACAAAGGGGCCGAGAATTGAGCCCTGAGGCACGCCCATTTGTACAGTCGACCCGGAAGAACTCATACTATTAATGACAACTCTTTGCGTTCTGTCACTTAAATATGAAATAATTTATTTAAGAGCATCACTTCTTACACCGTAGTGTTGAAGTTTCCTGATTAATGTTTCATGGTGAACACAATCGAAGGCCTTGGATAGGTCACAGAATATACCCAAAGCATCCTGTGAATTCTCCCATGCATTAAAGATATATTTAATAAGCTCAACACCAGCATCAGTTGTCAAGCGACCCCTTGTGAAACCGGAGTGATTTTTATGAAGTAAATTATTTATATTAAAAAAAATTTAACATTTGATCAAGAATATTTTTTTCAAAAATTTTACTAAGTGTTGGCAGTACAGAAATAGGTCTAAAATTAGCGGGGTCCAATGTACTGCCAGATTTAAATAAAGGTATTACTTTACTATGCTTCATAAATCAGGAAACACACCAGATTTG